ACAAACGACAGGGTACTTTCACAAGGCTTTAGTGAACAGCCCTTAGTCACTAGAATAGGGTTCCTTTAGGGGTCCTGCATGGTTCTATAGGAGCTTATGAGGCTTTAGTGAAGAGCCCCTTGATCATTAGACCAGCGTTGCTTTAAGGGTTCCTGCGCGTGTTCTATAGGGGGTTGTGAAGCTTCAGTGTAGAGGCCTTAAGAATCCTTAATGATTAGAATAGTTTTGGTGTAGGTGCCTCAGCCTTCAGAAAAGGCTCTTCGGGTACTATGTTCTGAGTCATTTTTTTGGGGCTATTATCCCCAAGCTTGCCTTTTTTGGAGGAGGCGACTTGCCTGAATATGCCTACTCCAAGGATCTGAGGGTGTGCCAGCAGTAACAACTTGAGGAAGTTTAAGATGGGCGCAAGCTCAAATAAAGCGTCCACGGAGGCGAGTGTCCTCAATAGCATTTTGCAGGGCCCCCGCTTCCGAGAGGCTGGTGCATCAAACAGGTCTTTGCCAGATAATTTGGGTCCATCTGGGTCTTGGGTCACACAGATCGGACTCCATTGCGACATTTGGGACCCTGCTGCCTCGGCCGGAAACACCTCACGTCTGCAAAAAACCAAAAAGTTTTGGACCGAGCTCCGCACGCTCTGCCAAATTTTTCTTGGCATCGTCGCTGAGCTCCGCTCCCTGTGAGGTGCCACAAACAGCTCCCACACTGTTGTGACATGTGCAACCGTGAGCCCCCGACAGCGCAGGAATCAAACAGCAAAATTCAATGAACCTCGAAATCCTTCAAACTTGCAGCCACCATGCCTTTTCGGCTGCAGTGGCTGCTTCCTGTGGGGTCGAGGCTGCGCCATTCGCCGCATAGCCTTTGGCGGCAAGGGACCTCGACATGGTGGAAATGAGCGGGCCGCGGAGCGTTGTGGGGCCGGTATGGTTTGATTATGCTGCTGAATTCCAGTTCCGGCGTCTAGGTTGAGGTGATAAACGAAGCACGAAATATCAGGCTCCAGCCTGCTTTGTCCGGCTTAGCAACCCTCCCTTCAACACAACCCAAGAAGTCGGAGGTCGTAGATGTGTGATATGAATGTGCGCAGGCGGACGGCTGCATCGACGCTTAGGATTGCATGTCTGTTGAACAATATTGAACACACAGACATGTATAGCGATGGAGATCAGGGCGCTTTCCGGGTCCGTTGCTCACTGCATAACTGCTTGAACTCCTCCTCTGAGACGTCCAGCACCTGCTCGTATTAGCGGGATGACGACTTGGTCCTGCTAGAATTACGAAACAGAAATGCTCTGGGCTTTGGGCTTTCACCTAGAGGTCAGTGCAAGGCATCCTCCCGGGTCACGACATTTGCTACGCAAAAGCATTCGTTACGCCAAGCAAGTCGGCTCACGAAGCCGTTTGAGCATCTGCCGCACGAGGCCGATCGGGGATGCGTCCTGGTATTCCTGAGGAGCTATTCAAACGTATTAGACACTGGCCTTGTGCCCGGCATCCTTGATGAAGGCTACAGCTGACCTCAAATGGCACTCTTCCTTGTGTTCAAGGCCAGCATGTGCCGTTGCATGTCTGCCTATATACTAGTAGCAGCTGCAAGGCAGAAAGGCACATCATGCACACTGGCGAAGATCTCCGGGGTCCATGCTGCACTGCTGTGAGAAAATACGCGTCCTCGCGGTCTGCATGTCAAGATCTAGAGCGCTGCACCACTTTATAGCTCACTTGCAGGCTCGCAGTCTTCTTGTTTATGGTCATTCAAAAGTCTTGTCTGGCGGGTTCAAACTTCAGTCCAAAGCTTGGAGGGAGCAAAACTACTGAAGGCCCCATGACAGCTCGCCTCTGCGACAAGTCGCGAAGGATGCCTTCCGACAGACAGTCTCATCCGCGCAGAAATATGTCAAATGGCTTGTTGGTGGTTGGTTGTTCCACTCCCCGGCCGCATCGTTCATACTTCCAGAACCCATGCCGTGAACTCCAGAAGCCACAGGCCTCAGGGGCCGAAGCACCACGCCCAGCAAATCCCCGACTAGATGCAGTCTTCATGTCGAAGCGACGACGAAGTGACCGGCGGCGAGAGACGGCTATAATCAAGACAAGAGGGAAGGGCAGTTCCCGGGTTTGGGAGATGAGAATTATGCAACAAACCGGCTTGTAGGCTTTGAGCATTGTGCATCCTTGCGCTTTCCAGGGCAGATGTACGGAGAAACAATGGCCCCATGGAGCAGGCGAGCAACGCACGGGGTTGGGCAACAGAAGCCCCAATCTCAACCGACCGGATATCCGCTAGATCTTGTGCCACAGTAGGCCTGAAAGCTGCCACGAACTCGATGTTCGAATGGAGACGGGGAGGATTGGCCTTACAGTTGGCTGACATCCCTTTGTCGTTGAGGGCAGGGATTTTGAGCAGCTAAAGGTTGCTTGGATGTTGATCACGAGATGTTGGTTGACACAGATTTTAGGTGGTGGATTGGTGGTGGCGACTCTCACCATGATTGGAGTCCTTCTGAAAACTCTTGCTGTAATATAGGCTTCCGTTGCTACCAGCGTGTTTCAGCATCGTGTGCGACTCTGGATGCTTTGCACCGGAGTTGGCAGCATGTCAGCAAGTCAGACACAAGAGCACCCAGTACAAGTAGCTTTCAGGAACTTCGGGGCAGAGGGTTAGCAGGTTAGCAGCTTTAAGTAACAAGTAGTGTTTGGGAAGGTTTGCTCCGGCTCGCAGCAAGATGCTCAAGCTCTGGTAATGCTTGTGTAGACAATCAGCCGAAAGGCTCCGACGGCACAGTGGATCACGAGTTCGGACGGCATCAAAACAAACAAACACTTTCCACCGTGTCAGCTTGACTTGCGCGGGCGGCGGAACATTAGGAACTCCAGGCCTGAAGCTTTCGCCGCTGCCTAAGACGATCTCAAGTCACCCGAGGCGCCAAAATCAGGGAGTAAATCAGCAAGGGCAGGAAGTCATCAGCTGAAAGCGGCCGGCTGGCACCGCCTCGGAGCGTTTGAAGCTCTTTGGCTGTGTGGGGACGCAGCTTTCTTGGCCCCGTCCGCATTTGCACTGAGATCTGAACTTGCCACAATGGCACGCTTCAGCACGTCGTTGATCTTGGATTGTAGGGAGAACGAAAGACAGACTGCTTGCTACTCAAAGGACCTCAAGGCCCACGCCACGCGGCAGGAATTCCCGATGCAAACCATCTTGTCCCGTGGCGCCTGCACCACGAAAAAGTTCATGAACTGCTTCAAATCCTTTCGACAGCGACTTAGTCTGCCTTGAACTTGTCCATACTGTGCAGCTGCTCCACTGCCAAGTGTAAGAGCGAAGTGTCCACCTTGGAATGCTTGAGTCTCTACGCAGCTCTGCAAGAGAAAAGTGACATGCGTCGCCCCTTTGCTGGAAAGGTGACAAGGCGCAGTGCAAAGCAACGTTGACGCCAAGACATCTCGGGAGCCACACCGGTGGAACACCCAGGTTGTCGAAGCCCACCCAACCTCGGTGACATCGTAACACGTCCTTTTACTGGAACATTCAAGAAACAAGCATGAACTCCAGTGGTGCTGAAAGTGTCAGAATCCCTGCGTGCACGATGACTCTGTGGCCGCGGCTGAAGCTGTCAATCTTCTGCCTCAGAATTTCGTCCTGTTCAACTGGGGGTGTGGCCTGAAATGTGTTGTAAGAGGTTCAGTCTAGGAGTGCTTCAGGTCCTTGAGAACGAAACAACCTTCCTTGTGCTACTATCCCCTTCTCGGCTGATCCTCTTTGCTGGACTCAGGCCAAGAATAATGGATCCGTTTGCAATTATGTTGTGATCAGAAGCTCCCGTCCTCCGTCAGGTCCGATGGCTCCATGGCGAAGAGGCGGGCATGTAATCTGCTCAGCAGGAACCTGGGCACATGGCCGCGAGTTATCCTAGGACAGCGACCTTGCACTTCAGCCTGTGAAATCTGTCCTCCTGCAATTCCAGTGCGGGGTTGCCTGCTGTTTATTCTGACCCGTCGTTTGGGCCATGAACAGCGATGTCATCTTCAAAAGTGCCTTCATCTGAAGCCTCAATTCACACTGGCGGAAGCTGCACAACATTTCTTCTGGTCCCAGCCCAGCTACCCTCAGACCTTGTGCAGTTTTCTGATTTCCGTGGCCGCGGCTTCTCCAGCCCTTCAGCGGCATTTGCCTGTCCGGCCTTGCGGAAGTGGTTCTTGACCCGGAAACATTGAAGATTAACTTCTGTGGACTTCGAGGTGTGAGCGTGACTTGTCTTGCGACCCTGCAGCTGCTCTGCGGGAACAGCTCGAAATTCTTGAAACGTCTCAGCTAATCTCCACCACGTACACTGATCTGTTTCTAGACCTCATTGATTCTGATTTCGACAATAGTTGTTCTGCTTGCCCATTCAGCCCAGGACACAGTTTGCCCTTGTCGTTCAGTAAATAATGAAGATCAACCATGGTGGCCTCATCTGCCTCAGCTGCGAAAACGAGCACCTGCGACAGCATCCAGTCCTGCGAGTGCTACGAGAGTTCGTGGCGCCGCATGGAGCATGCAGTATGCACCCTTCCAGTTTCGGAGTTGCAGACTTGCCGGGCCAACGCATCAGAACGGGCGATGGGCAGGACCCCAGGAGAAATTCGACGAACACCCAGGTACCCACAGGCCAAGACGGACGAAGTTCGACGAAGGTCCGGGGATTCTACGAAGGCCGAACAGGAGGCTCGACGCAGGCCGGGGGGGTTCGATGGCCTTCGCCGGATAATGCGTGCCGTTTTGCTGCAATCACAGTTCTTTTAGTTCACTTATGCAAAGCGCTAGCGTCCACAGATGGGTGCGAGAGACGTTCATTTCGGTGAAGCATACCCACAGACAGGAAGCATTCCAGGCCCGAATCACGTCCACTGCTGCGTCTCACCAGCAACAGCACACCTATGACAATGAAAGCCTCACGCATATCGTCCTGCGTCGCAGAGAGGAACTTGTGAATGCGATCAGCAGCTTGCTCCCGGGACAGGCCTGAGAGCCGACGTTCCCTTTAAGCAGGATTTCGATCCAACAGCAGAGGCATTCCCACCATTGGTACCAAACACACCATCCTTTAAAATCCCTTCCCCCTATTATTAAACCCCTCCTTCCCTAATATAAAAGCTCAAACCCGGGGGTTTAGTTTTTATGTTGGGGGTGTTTCCGGCACATACGGGTATGACTGGGATTTGTGTAATCAGACTGTAGCCCCTGAGCCTTAAGAGCCCTAAATACAGCCGTAAGCCTTCATTAAACCCTGAGCCATAAAGCTTTAAGCCCGAAGCCAAACAGTCAAACACAACGACCGACTCAACGACCGACTCCTACGCAGCCGTTCCGGCTGTAGAGCAGCTCATTAAGCCCTAGACACCCAAACCCGAAAGCCTGGAGCCCGAAGCTTTAAACCCTAAAGCCCCAAACCCCAAAGTCGTAGGCCCTGAGCCCTTAACCCCTAAAGCGCTGGTCCTTCCGGTTTGGTACTACTGTAGTCTTGGTTCTATTAAAGCTCGTACAATCTCTAGGCCCCCCCTAATCTGCTTAATTCACTTTCAATTGTGGGCCCGAAGCCGCAAAATCCCGGGGCCGGCAGTTTTTATATTAAGGGGGAGGGGGGGCTTACCAAACGTGGGAAGCGATTATTATGTCTGGGCATGTCTAGGTTTTCGCTGAATCATGTTGCACTTGAGGTGGTGCATCGGCTCGGGCGAGCAAGAATCAGCCGTCACTCCCTTTCACGGCTACGGCAGCTACCATGATTACGAACAGTTACACTTGCATAGTCTTACGACAACTACAACAGGAGCTGCAACAGGAACAAGCACAACGACTACTACTGTTACACTGTTAACTTTTGTTAGCCTCGAGCACCAGGCCTTGAGCAGGGAACTTCTTGACAAAGTCCTCCGCGCCAAACAGCACATTTCGTCTCTCTCTCTCTCTCTCTCTCTTTCTTTCGCCAGGGCCACGGACAGGGGATTGCTCCCCTGCCCGCGCGCGTCTGCGCCCCCGACCGTTGCGGAGAGGGATGGAGAAACAAAAAGGCACCACCAAGGCAACTATGCCCGTTGACCAAAGGCAAACACGGCAAATGGTCGGTGTGGTGCAATCAAGGAGTTGGCATCAGTACGGGTCCAAAAGTAATGACAACAAAGGCAGGCGGGCTAACTCCCCGATGAACTGAGCAGAAAATATTATCAACTTGGCTGTAAGTGTACCGGCTGAATTGAAACAGGGTTTTCCTCCTGTACAGAAAGGTATAATGCCTCAGAGCGGAGGCACGGCAACTGTGGTTCAGGGATGGCTCCAGCGGCCCGTCTAAAGTACATGGAAAACGGAGAGATGAGGGGTGACCCCGTTGGCCGGTACGTGAAAGGCGAAAAGAAAGTTTGGTGCTGTTCAGAGTCTTGGCTAAACATTCATGCCGGTACATCAACATGGGTCGCAATGGCTGTTTGCGAATGTGCAACACGGAAAGCCAAGTGCCCAAGAAAGCGAAACTGAAGCAACCTAAGACAATATCTTTTTTTCGTTAGGGCTGTGGACTAGGGGAGCCAATCTCTCCCTCTCTCTCTCTCTGGCGCTCTCGCTCTCTTGTAGCTCATTGCAGGTGTCGTGGAAGCTTAGGTTGTTGCTCTAGGTTTTGGTCTTGGGGACTTGGGATTTCGGATTTTGGGTCATGGGCTCATGACCACTCTTTCGACGATCATGGCTTCCCGAGTCCTCCTTTGGCGTCTAATGGGCAGTGTCTACGCATGTCTGCACTCCAGTACTTAGGTGTCCCATAGACTAGCAATTCTGAAAGGAAAGCCTGCACTAGCCCAGCTCTGAATCCAAATCCCGAAGCACGTGTCGAATGACCGCAACATCTCTTCATGCCTGCAGCCGTGCTAACAGCGGCACCGCTGACTCATGCCTCATTGCCGGGTGGAACGTGCTTCGATTCAGGAAGTGGGCCGAGTATTTCGGCCTTTACCGTTCTTGGGGCGAGGGTTGGTCCAAGATGAGCTAGATTCCAGACGCTTCAGTTTTTGTTTGTGCTTTTCGGTACTTTGCAGGACTTGCGAATCAGTGCGAGAACCAGTCTTTACCTTGTTTTGCATACAGCTTCTCCAATAAATCATGACCGATTTTCTGCATGTTCGTGAAACTTAGTGACTGTATTTCTTTGCCCATGCCTTGGCGTTGGATAGTTGCCTCAAGCTTGAAGGACGCATGTCAAACCGTCTAGCTGTCTAGTGATGACAGCATTTGCAAGATAAATCCTCTCGTCCGAATGCCAGTAGAAGGTAAGACCAAGAGCGTTCCGATCACGATCATGCCGTTGCTGCATGCCTGCTGAATTTCTCAAAACGTGTGTCGGAAAATCCTCCAACGCAGCAGGCAGCTTTACCCGCCCTGACCACGTTTGGCAGACATGACAGACCACTGCTTTCAAAATGCGAGCTTCAAGATTTCGATTTCGAGATTCAGACTCTGCAGTTTCAGCTGTGGGTACGCTGTTGGCGTTTTCGGCAGGCCCTGCCTCCAGAAAACACGCATTGGTAAACAACGAGCCGTCCAGTACACCAAAAGGGCAGGCCCGCATATTCTTGAAACCCCAGCCGGGCCTCGAGTCTTTATCAATACTACGAGTGCCACTATTGCTCCTGGCATTGCTTTTTCTGAAAGTCAAACTGGGCATGAAGAGCTTGACAGCAAAGTTCCGAACCCCTAACCCAAAGCCCGGGAGTCTCGGCGTCTGACTTCAACATTTCCCGGAAGATCATGTAATCGTAGCGTGGCGCAGCCGGTGCACTGAGAAAAGAGCAATTTAGGGGCTGCGGGCTTCCAAGCTTCTTGGCTCGAAAACTCAAGTGCAAGGCCATGTTTGGGGTCCGGAGAACGGAGGCGCGCAAGGAACGACCCCTTCAAGCTCCAGAAACAGCCTTCTCGACTCCACTAGGTTTGAAACATGTATCGACACCACCAGTCGGGAACACCAAGCACCGCAGTGAATCCAGGGTCTATGTCAGCGTCAGAGTCTATGCCGTACCAAGAGAGAGTAATTTTCTGTTTTGATGCGATCGTACCCATGAGCTGCCGATGAGCAGCTCAAAACCCTTATCACAACCCTTAAGCTTGTAATCTTCCTGCAGCACCCAGGTCGTGGCCACTAGTTCCAAACCTTCATCAACATCCAGACTGCATAACCTTGGCAGAATCCTTGAAGCCTGGAATCTGCAACGTGAAATTGGAAACCACGCCCCTGTGACCTCAATTGAACTCCCCGCCTGCCATTTGGATCGCCAGCCCCTTCCCGTGCAGGGGTCATACCGATTTATGTTTTGTGCAGTCCCTTTGAAGCTTCTTGAGTTGATCTACCGATTGTTGAGAACCTTCTGCAAAACAAGCTGTCACAGTTTTGCAGCGCTGTGACGGAAGCTGTGCCGAAGGAAAGTTGTTGGCCTGACTCTGACTCTTGCGGCTCTTCGGGCACATCCTGTCGCTGCTTGCGTGCATGGATGATGAACGAAGCCCAGCTAAGGTTCTCAGGAGAAATCTGCTCGATCTTCCCGTTCCAGATTGATTTTACATAACTAAGTGCTCCATGACGCTACAGTTGCAGCTTCAGCAAGCTTCGACAGTATCGCTTTGGCTGTGCAAGGTTGCGATTGGCGGTGGGTCAAAATTGGATCGAACGGCAGTAGAGGCAATCATCGCTGGGAGTCGCGGGCCAATGTGAGCCCCAAGAGCCTGTTTGCCTCTCACGGGTTCTTGTGGTGTGCTCTTGTGAGACGTTCGGGTGCTTATGAACCGGCAGGGTGCAATAGCAAAAGGCTCAAAAGCCTCCGAAGGCTGTTGTCTGCTTTGGATGATGCTGGGGGGTTTTGCTGCATGCCTTCGACTCAGTATTGCGAAATGTAGTCATAATCCGTGATCGGTCACAACCAGTGATCAAATCAACATGGGTACGTCATGTGCAGCACAACCGTCAAAATCTGAGGATCAAATGCTTTTGTCCTCTGCAGGCTTTTCTGCATCCATTGCCAAGAGCCTCGATTGCATGCAAGTACGTAGACCTGCTAACTTTGGAGCATCTTGGGATAGCTGCATCACGCTTCGTCGCAACACATCCCACAAACTGCACGAGAAGCGCAGGATAGGTATGCATCTGATTCTCTGGGCGCAGGACGCCCCGAGGTGTCAAATGGTCATCGGCCTAGAGGCCTTATCTTGCCTGTTTCGCCATGTGTAGTCTCAACTGTTGAACAAACCTCACATGATTCGGGTGTTGTGGAGTTGTGAATGGGCAAGTAAAACTTTGAGGAGTGCGTGCACGACGAGAAGCTTCAATGTCTCAAATCGCTGTCAGACTAGCTCTTGAGCCGCATCCGGTGGACAAGTCAGGAGCAGCAAACGTCTGGCAGGGTACCCATAAATGCACGATTGGTATCAGTATCAGTGTTGCTGTTTTCCTCTGTTCAGTTTTGCGAGTACATTAAGTACGTGCTTTTATCAATGATACAAGTGGCCGTTCTTTAGCGAACCTTAGGCTTATCAGAACGACTGGAGACTGGAACTGATGCTCGTGTTCCTTTGAGCTGCGCGGCTTCCACGGTCGCTGGAAGCGATCGGAGGAAGGAAGTCTGCAGCCAAAGCTTTGAAGAAGCTGTCCTGCGATCTGCAAAACCGGAACAACGAACTGTTGCGGCATTGCAGCAACAAACCTGTGTGCTGTGCTCCTTGCGGCCTTGAACTAAGGAGTGAAGAAGACTCTTTCACTGAGCCAAGTGTCTCCATCAAGTGAACTTCCAGGCCGGATGTGCTGCCACTGCCCACACGCACAAGAAGGACTGCTTGCGACAAGTCAGTGATACCTTGCTCAGACAGTGCTTCTTGATACCTGAGCCGGGCCAAGAACTCTCGGTGAGATGTACACATCTACGGATTCTGCTGGCAACCGAGATGCCGTGCTGGCTCCACTCCACTGCTGATGGCAGTGGGCATATACTGTCGTGCAGGTGTCTTAGCCCCGTGGAAGACCCAGGCAGATGCCCTTTGGCAGTCCGCGCTCCACCACGACTTCAGGCGAGTCGGAAAGTGCAGGACGTTTGGCACTTTCGACACCGCGGCCAGGCACCCGTCGGCAGCAAGATGGCAGCTAGCCAATCGGACCGCGGCAGAAAGAACCTCTTCTCCGCAGTCCCCACCGTTTCCAAATAAAAGGCTCGCGCCAGTAGCGATGTTCTTGGGGTTCGGCATAAAAGGCGGGTTCACGAGAATGGCGTCAAAGAGGCTGCTCTTGCCAAGCCCTTCGCAGCGCAGATCCTTCTGCAACAGTCCATCGCACCTCTGGGTTGGTCGGGGGGATCAGAGAATCGAGGAGATTCGCACATGCCGAAGTAGACGGCCTTTCGTGAGATCTTCCGTGCATTACTATTTTCACTGTCTCTGCCTGTTGTGATGTAACTGACTGAAGACACAGGTTTTAATCTACCTAGTCTACCATGTTGGGCTGGGCTTCCATTACTCATCACTGGTCATCCCAAATTTCTCCAAAACACATCTTGGTTTGCAAACTCCTCTGAACTACTTCAACCCTAAACACTCCTCCGGGAAAGACCCCCAAACTCTGACTTCTGTCAACCTGTCCCCAGCCCTCAAGCTGCTAAAGACTGGAATGCTGGTATAACATGTTCTGTATATTTTAGACCCCTGGATGCTTGTGCAGTGTGCACCCACTCATACATTTCATGTTCTGGTGAGGGGGGGGGTGAAAATATACTACAGAATCCTGTGTTGTTGCAAGCGAAGACATCTGTTTGTAAAGCCTCCCCAGCAAGCCGTTCAGGGCCAAGTTGAATCGCGTGAAGCCCACGGCACGGGGATTCGCATCCACGAACACCGCCCTCGCATGAGGTTGCTTTGGAACTGTGGGTAGGGCCTGAGGACTAGCTAGGCTCTAGGGTGAGAATGAGGGCTACGGGAAAGGGTCCCAGGTTGTGCTTTCACAGGTCTACGGCTGTAGTCTTGCAACGTCGATTAAAAAGGGGGCTGGCTGCTAGGAGCTGGTGCTGTTGTGACAGCAGAAGTCGCGGCAGCAGCTGTCACAGCAGCAGGAGAAACAGTAGCTGCCGACAGATTGCAACTGTTCTTCAATGCTGCTGCTACTGCGTTCTGTTGAAAATTGCTACATTGGTACTGAGGATACGGAGCACACGATTTGCTTGTGCTGTAGTCCTGTCCAGCCTGTCCAGCACACAACAAAGAATAGTTGCACACTGTCTCCGCTGCTAGGGCCTAGGGTTTTGGAAGCTCTGCTTGCGAAAACGGCTCAGTAAGATTCTTACGACGAAAACTCCATTCTTGCAAGTGGAACCCGTTGACATGTCAGAAGTGTCGGTCTGCCCAGAGTATTACCAATGCTCAATGGAACTACTTGTAGCTCTCTTCTCCGACGAGCATGCCTACCTCGAGCCCCAACAGACACAGCGTTCCTCGTGGCGTAGTGCCGCAGGGCAACGATACCTTGGTTCGGGAGGCTCCAGGTTAGGGCACAGTATTTGTCAGCACCTGAAGCTGCATCGATGCTTCGCGAGTGACTTGCTTTCAACGGTTCAAGAAGCGTTGATGCGAACCCAAAGCTACTGCGTACGAGTCAAGCCCCTTCAACTCTCCCTTGGGACTCCAAAGATCGACCCTTGAATATCTAAGAATTCCAGTGCCTGAAGCACACCATCCCTGGCCATCCCTTAGCCCCTCACTTTTCGATTATCGAAATGATTCGGCCCCGAGTTTTCTGCCAAGGAGCCCTGGATACCCGAGCCACAGCAAAGGTCAAGCAGCCGGCGGCAGGGCCGCCGTGGTGCGGCGGCTGCCAAAGCCAGAGAGTCCTCTTAGGCACCGATCGCGGTTTGAGTTGCGGAGGTGATGCTGGTGATGCGGATGGCAAGGGATGAACAGGAAGTGATGAACATGGATTAGAGAACATGATTTGTAAAAGAGAACTTGACTGAGATTCGACGACTGTTACCAGCACACGCACCACCAACATCACCCTCAAGAATCCTCAGCACTACCGGCATGGGCACCAGTTACAACATCCCTGCACGCAATCATAATCATCCCCTCGACGATCGTCGTCGTCGGCGTAGCGATGGTGTTTGTCGCCGTTATAATCACCCTCATTGGCGAACCATCACCATGATGGTGAAGATTGCGATGCTTGCTAGCTCTACCATTGTCTAACTGGCTTTGGAGCACTCACATCATTGTCGACAGCTTTGTTTCACGTTGTTCAACATCTTGCACGCTCAAGCCCTGTGTGGCCCCTATGCCTCATGGCCTCGAGCATCTGAGACATGTCAGATACTTAGTCGCTTGAATGTTCCGGCGTCGGCATCAAGCGTTGAGCCCTAAGCCCCTGAGCTTACAGCTACTGGCAAAAGGGCCGGACCCCTCCTCTTCGGATGCCGGAACTTGAGGCATCACCTGTTTTACACCAGAGTCTGCTGGTGTCCTCCGAGAGGTACATGACCGGCTCAGTGTCGTCCGAGAAGCAGGTCGACTCGAAGTCAGTAGCCACGAGCAGGTCGCCCTCCACCGGCCAAATCGCGACGGACGCAAAGACGCAAGGCTCGCAAGGCTCCTGGCATCTCTATCTTAATTTTGTGGTTCAGAAATGGCGATCTGATTCGGGGTTTGCTCCATCGCTACATCGTGGGCCAGTAAATGGCTATCTCCATGTCGGTTGGTGAGGCTACAGAAGATGCAGCGCAGGCGTCGGCTTGAGAGAAGCTCTCCTGAGTGGTGAGGCGCAGGAGCCTTGAAGTTTCTTCATCGATCTTGCACAAGATTTGTAAGCGGAGCAGGAGGTCATACACGTCTTGTCCAAGCAGACCTGCGACCCGGCTGACAGGAATTGCTCGGTGAAGAAGGAACAAGCGCACGAGATCCGCCGTGCTTGCCCTGGCCGTCCTCGAACCAGGCTTCTGCTGCCAGATCTGCAGTCTCTGCTCCAACAGGCCATCGGATCTCGCCAAAACGAACTCTGTCAAGCAAGCCGCGCCTGCTCCTTCCATCACCGTTGACTCCGTGTATGAGGCTGCCAGAAGTCTCTCCCGCACGAGTTTCAGTTCTTCCAGCTGCAGCAGTTCGTCTGCACTGAGGAACTTCAGCGACCTTGCTGCCAGAAGCTTCGTGGAGTACTCCAAGAGCTGATGATCCAAGTGGATGTCGGATCCCTGCAATCGCGCGGCGCTTGTCAGCGCCGCGTGCGCGCCTTCGATGTCAAAGAGCCGGAAACGTTGGAGTCCAAGCCTCGAGAGGAGCCGGGCGGCGGCTTCGTCTTCTTTCGCCTCTGCTCCCTTGGCCTTGGCCGCCTTGGCCTTCTCCTGCCGCAGCAGGAAGCTGAGCTTTTCCTCGTCGCAGCGGAGGGCCGCTCGCGTTGCGAGGCCGTGCGCAGACACCAGGGCATCGCTTGACTGATGCCGTGGTGCCGATGCAGTGCTCGCCGGGTCACCCCAGGGACAACGCTTCAAGCATTCCCGAAGGCTCGTCTCTCTTCGCTGCAGGGCCTCGATGTCGGAGGCGGCCGCTGTGTCGGATGACAGCGCTCTCCAATCCGAGCTCACCTGCAAAAGGGACTCGGCGGACTTCTCCAGGACTTGGATCCAGGCTTCTGGCGAATTTCGTAGGGAATCCTTCTTCATGGATTTCCTGGCCATCATCGAGGCCAATGTGAGCAGTGTGTAGGGTCCTCTCTCAGTTCGATGATGTCTGTGACTCCATGCTCCGGGACGCTGCCAGGAGCAAAAGCTTCGCGATGCTGCCCCCAGAGGCTTCGGCATGCGAAGAGCGCAACCGGCCATGTGGGGGCCCGTCATACCAGTTGGGCTGGGCTTGGAGCTGAGGCAGCCTCGCTTCTGGCTCGAACCAAGCCGCCGAAAGTTCCACTTCGACCCTCATGACTCATGATGGAAGCCAACAACTGGGGTCTTTCATGCAGAGACTCCGAATCGACTACCTCTTTCCGAACCCTTCCCATCGTCTCCACACCTGAGTTTGGCATCTTCGAAGCATGGAAAACACGTGCGCTTCGCAGGGAGTCAGCTCTCAAATCGCTTTTCTCCTCAGCTCTCGCCTCGCCGCGCACGCTTCGCAGGAGGTTCTTCTTCTGCGGCCTCTGCACCCTCCTGGGCGTGCGGCTGGTCATCGCCTTCCTGCGCTGTTCTTGGCACTTGGAACTTGTGCACCTCAATTGGAACCTATGCACCTTCAGCAGCTCTGAAGTCTTAAACTGAAAAGCTTCCGACTCCTCTTCGTCGTCATCGTCGCTCAAGTCCTCCTCCTCTGCCTGCTCGGAGCCTGCAGGTGCCTCCTGCATAGCCCGCCATTCCTGCAAAAGGAGCGGTACTCTGTACTCCTAGACTTTCATTGCAGCTTGGTCTCACGACGTGCCCGTATGACCCATCCTAGTCGTAGTCACATAGCCACTGAGGCTCCAGGAGTTGGAACCGTTTGGGGAACTACGCCACTACGAAGTGGGCCCTGGATGGTCGCGTGACTGCCCGGCCGACTCCTGCGCGGTGATCTCGCCCGGCCCATCCTCGGACGCGAGCTGTTTGGTGGCCGCTACGACGGCCTTGGCAGTCTCCTCTGGAGCGGCGCTCAACAAAGCATCGAGATCGGAAATGATCGCGGGAACCATGAGATCACCATCTGCCAAGGAGTCTGGGTTCAGGAGATTCATCACCTCTGTCTGGCTGATAGTCGCACCCTGGTCCAACTGTTCTGATAGCCTGGCTACCCCGCCTTTAGGGAAGTAGACCATCATCTCAGATTCGGACTCTGAATCTAAGCCCCTCTCCCAGTCGATGCTTTCACTGAGGACATGGCCTAGCTGCTTACACATGAAGCCTGCCACGGCATCCATGAGTGCAGGGCAGGACTCGTGCTTCAAGCCTGGAAACTGCTTGAACTCGACGGATGCCTGAGCTTTGGTCAGAATCTGGGCTGCAGCTTCTCCGCAATCGAAGCCTACCATGTCGTCGGCCGTCCCATGGCAGAGGAGGAAGGATGTTGATCCCTTCCATCCATCAGACAGGATCCTGCGTGCGCCGGCCGTCAGCCATCCCGAGACAGCAACACAGCCAGCCAAAGGACGAGAGTGCTGGAGAGCGCAATGCAGGGCAATGGCGGCGCCCTGAGAGAAACCTCCGATCAGCACTTGCTCGGAGGGCATCCTCTTTTCAAGTTTCTCGATTTCGGCCAAAACCATCGCAACAGAAGCAGCATAAGACCCGCCCTTGTCCTCATCGATGTAGTCGATAGAGCCGACATGAATAACTTCTTGAGTGTGGAACTGTCCCCAGCCCCTGAGCTTCTTATTCCCATAGCACGGCTGCTCCAGAAGAGGAGCGCAGAGGTGATGCCAGGACCAGCTGGTGAGACCCTGAAGGGGTTGCCATGCCATGGCCCATCCTTCAGGCGAATCCCCGAAGCCATGCAGCCAAATCACAGCTCTGGTGGCCGTCGCCTCTTTTTCGCCGACAACCAAGTTGCCAGCTGCGTCTTTGGGCATGGCTCTGCGGATCTTCAGGAGCTGTGATGCACTCTTGTCATGTTGTGCTTCTTGCTTCCCATGCGGCTGTCCTCGCCGCGATGAGCGTGCGAATGCTGAAGCTTCACTCTTGACATGCTGCCTGAGCTTTGAACCAAGCCCTGCCTGAAGCTTCACGAGAGCACAGTGTGAAAGAGGGTGCAGATGGCTTTAGCTTCATTTGCTGAACCAGCGACTTTTGACACGCAAGTGCAGCATGTGTTTCCATGCCATCCGTGAACGCCCCGGCGAGCTCTGTGAGCGATGCTGGGGACCACCGGGATTCTGGTCGAAGAAGACGTAGACCACGACGCGCCGACTGTAAACTTTAAACAGCTACACCGTCTCAATGGACCACCTCGGACAGGCCGGCTAAAGCTGTGTGCATGCGAAGTACAGCGGGGCCTAGTGGCCAAACGGAAGACGGCTCTCGTTGCACCGAATCCACGAATGAAAGAACGTGCAGTCAGGGAGCATCTCAATGTCGCGCACCACAAACTCAGACTTTGAAGCGAGTGTGGGGTTCCTGTGTCAGCTTGCATGAAGCTTCTCGTGGGGTGGACATAGTGGGACCCTGGAGCATTCTGAGAGCCCTGGCTGGAAGGTCACGGTCGGAGAAGAGTGTCCCTGCCTTAGCACTCTCACAGGAGAAATTGGAAGGACTGAACTTCTGCCTACAACTCAAAGAAAGAATTCCTCCTACGAGAGGTTCACAGGCAAAGGACACCCAAACAAAGCAAACTTGCACAGACGCCTCCACCCTCGGGCCTTCCCACCGAACCCGCAAATCTGGCCATCCAGCAAAGCCATAGCAAGCCCTTTCGGGCTGGCGCAATAGATCAGATTGGATCACGAAGGCAAGCCGTCCTGCAGACATCTGCCTACTCTGCGGAACCGCTGGGCTAGCGTGCATGACAGCGGCATGATCCGGACCAGGTTGTTGCCAAGCTCTGAACTTCACTACTTTTGCCAAGCAAGAACTGCCAGGGCCTTGTTGCACTCCAAAGCTCGGGTGAGCAATATGCTGCTGACAGTTTGGACGCAGTTCTTTCACGACTTGAGGAGAGCTTGAAACTTAAAACCAAAGCTTGGCTGGTAGGCCCATGGAAGCTTTCCTGCCTTGACAAGAAGGCAGGCGGGGTGTGCTATGTGGTCGCAAACATTCCAAGCTCTAAGCTAACTGAATTGGGTGTGGCAACGAGGTCCTTCTCCACCTCCCATTCCAAACATGGACTTGTCTGCATACATGCAGCACCTTGGCAATGGCGACTTCCCTCACGGCTGATGCAGGTTTTCTCCGCCACGGGATAGCAATCAAGGGCAATCCACGCCGAGATTGAGGCGCAGCTTGTGAAAGCCAACCCCCGTCCCCCCCGAGAAGCACTTCAAAATTCAGGCTTCTCTGGCGAAGGCACTGGGACCCCAGCGCGTTTTCCGAAGACCAGGGGAAGAATTGAACCTGATACCATCACCGGCCCGAAGTCCCAAAAACACTGAAGCTCCTCCAAAGATGCAAAGCTTCCAGCGTGCCTCTGCTGGCTTTTCAGTCTTGCACCCGAACGAGAACACGAAAGCCTGCAGCCAAGCAGTCTCAGGGACTTCGATCTGGTGCCATTCTGCAAGAGGTCTGGGTGAGGTAACCAGTAAACTCGCAGCGAGGACTTCTCTTACGGCCTCGCCAGATCCGTAGAACCTGACTCGATGCCACGCCGTAGAGAATCCGAAGTGCGCGGCGCGCTGCACTGCACTGCCGTGCTGCCTGCCAGCCGGCTCCCAGGCTGAAGTGGCGAAGCCTCCAAAGACAAAGTCCTGGCCAAGCGTCGTCTCCAAGCAGAAGCCGAAGCACATCGTTTTGGCATTTGGATTTGCCTTGCCATTGTAAACCTATGCTACACGAAGAAAGCTTGGACGATTCAGCTGCAACTGACGACCGGCTGTGTGGCAATGTTTTTCCAGGGTTGTCTGCCTGGCTCATCGCGCCATACTGAAAGGTTCTCCAGAACTTGGTTGCAGCAAACCATGGCTCCTTCCACTTGACGTGTACCGCATCCACTCTCACTTCATCTCACCGAAAGGCTGGGGTGCAGGGTGGGTAACTAACAGACGCCACGCTGTGTTTTTCTTGGTGTGCCTTTTTGATTTCGGGTTTCCAACTTCCTGTTATTTACAAGTAGTGTTCCACGTGTCTTCTACATCTTGATACCTAATTCATTCTTTTGTCGCATGTTAAGTTTTTCTATCTAACTTGTCTCTGTCCCCTACTTATTGTTTGAAGTTTTGAACTACTTCAAACACTAGTTCTCCATGATTCTGAATGTCGAGGTTTGTTGCATCTTTTTTGAAGTGCTTCCAAGTCTTTAAACTCTGTTCTGACATCTTCTCCATTTCATCTGTGCTTTGACCATTTTCTGCAAAGGTTTCTTGTGTCCTTATTACTTTGTTCGAAGTCTATTCAATTTTTCTCATGTCCTTTCTTTTTTCTTTGTGTTTTGGAACTTTGGGGGATTTCTTTTACTTTTGCTATTGTCGGCACTTGTACTAATATGTTCTGGATCTGTTAAAGAACTGACAGCAGATGTTTTGCCGGTTGATTCCATGCCGACTGTTTTTGTAACCCATGTTCGTGTGAAGCGAACTATATGTTTGGTCATCATCTGGGCTCTTGTTTGGAATCGACTTACCGCTCGTGCGGTCCGCAGCAGATGGATGCCCCCATGGCAGATGGAGGGCTCGGGGCTCCGTCTGTGGTACTGCGCATTTGGTGATACTGATGATATCACAAGTGGATGCTCGCATATTGCAGGCGGAAGTGCATTTCGGCCATCAAAGCACACCTACCGTCGACCACAACAGAAGGCGACATCGGTCTTCAAACGTACTGAGCAATGGTGTACATCTACGAGTTCAAATTGGCTCAGACCCAAGGATCCAGAGGTAATAAAGATTACCATCGAGAAGCATTCATCGTCGTGGTAGCAGAGGATAGCAGTAGTAATGTAGCAGCAGCAGGAGAAATCGACAAGTCTCTGTTCCAGTGCACGTGGAACCACCGAGTGATGGGACATGTACTATGGATGCATCCCAGTGGTCCCTAAAGGTTTCCGTAGTTCGACCCAGGCATGGCGGCAGCTGCCGAGCCGGAGCCTCTGTGTCCTGAATGATCACGATGGTCTTGTCCCGCCTGTGGAGCTTGCAAGACATGAGGATGTGCTAGAAGAGTCTGAAATCTGTGCAGCTTCAAGTTTGACGGTCCGAGGCATCTGCTCTGCCATGTTCCGGAACATC